GATGGCAAACATCGATAAAAACCCGGCTGCCGTCTCAACTTTCACTGGCCTTTGGCTGAATGTTTGTAAGAAATGTACCAACCAGTAACGAAACCGGTCGCCGTCTACCTAGAGTAAATGGTGCCACCAAACGAAGCTAAAGTTTTGCGACTTAATCCACCAAATGCAGATAAAGTGTTGCGACTTAATCACCTGATTGTGGATTGTGTGGTTAGTAAACTCCATAGCCATACTGTCCATAGCGCACACTAAACTACTGTCTCTTATACACATGGGGGAATTTTTGGGGGTAAGGCATTGTCCAATACGTTTAATATTGGGTGTCCGATGTTTTCCAATGACTTTCTAAACAATGATGACAAGATTTTGGATTTCTAGAAACCGTTTCATATCCATTTTAACACAACCACAGGAAACACAGGGGCAGTTCCTGACAGGGGTCCAATAGGTATTCCACATGGTGGGACTGAGTTGAGCAAATTTAAAGAATAGGCCCCTCTAGAAGCTCGTAGTCTATTCTATACCTTGAGTCGCCGGCTGGGTATCTCAGCCCCACTGGATTATAATGATATGTCCCACAATCGATGTCAGTGACACATTATGATGTTATGTATCAACAATGCTCTTTTGGATGAGGGTGCTATAGAGCAAAGACCCTACTGGAACCTATTGGTAGAGACATCGAAAGGCCGGCCCCTAATGGTCGGTGACCCTTGTAGCTTTTACAAAGCAGTGTTCCTCCACAAAATGATTGACTTCCTCCCGACGGGAGGTATGCTCCTCCTCCTCGTCGCTAAGGTCTAATCAAGGACCTACAGTCTATTCTATACTGGGAGTCGCAAAGCAAATTATGATCATGGTGCCTATAGATGCCCGGAAATGGCACTTATTCAGACTTAAAATTTGAATTTTTATCTTTTTTTTTTTTTTTTTTTTTTTTTTTTTTAACAATTTAGGGTGGTCCTGGCCGGATGGGCACCCCACCACCACTGGATTAATGTGATTTGTCCTACAGTCGATGTCGGAGACACAATATGCTGTTATGTATCAACAAAGCCCTTTTGGATCAGGGTGCTATAGAACAAGGACCCTACTGGACCTTCACGTGTATGAGCACCGAAGAGGCCCCTAAGGATCGGTGGCTCTGCGGACCACCGCACGAGAGCGCATAGGAGTTACGCTGGATCCGCCACTGAACTCATGGGTAAACTTTCTTTCTTCCCTTTAACACTTCTCATTTTTTTTATTTTTCTGCATGACTGACAGGGGGGTGGGGCACGTTCCCTCCTGGATAGCAAACTCTCCTTGCTGTTGAAAGGGATCATGTTTAAAGGGATCACGTTATCAGGGACGTAGCCAGGATTTTGAAAGCGGGGGGGGGGAGAGGCGAGCCGTTATGCGAATTACGGAGAGCCGTTATGCGAATTACGTAGGACCCCGGCGGGGTCAAGGGGGCGAATCCCCCTGTGAATTAGCGCACTCTGAACGTTCTTAGGACTGCTTGAGAGGATAAAGTGAAAATTGCAATAGACGCATTATAAATAAGCGCAAAAATAGAAAATCGAAAGAGAGGTGAACCAGGGAGGGACATTCATAGACTGAGGAACCACTCACCTCAGCCCCACCATGGTTGGGACTGAGGTAAGAAAATTTATGATTAGGGCATCTCTAGACGGCCGGAAATACACTCTCGCACTTTAATTTGAATATATATTTTTTTCCTTAAAAAATTAAGGTTGGGGAGGGGGGGGAACCTTGAATCCACCTCTGCTCAAAACATTCTTTATCCAGAATAGTCATAATCACGAAAAATGGACATGAAAAACCAGATCACATCCTAAAAACAAACAGCAGTCACTAAGACATACATCAGGAGCCGACTCGATGGAGTTTAATGTCATACCCAGGGAAGGGCACATATCTGTTTTGAAAGGTGGAGGGGGAGGGCATTTTGTGAGTCGACACCCACCTCAGCCCTACCATGGTTAGAGCTGAGGTGAGAAAATTTGAGGAAATAGTACCTCTAGATGGCCAGAAATGACACTTTTAGTAAAATTCATCATCATCACATCACCATTAGTCAATGAAGCGCCAAAAAAAAATTTCTCATGATCTTTTATCAGGGATTTTTGACAACCATAGAGATCTTATTAATGTGTGTAAGATATACCACAGAAAACAAAGCTTAAAAACATTGTCTTTGAATATGTACTTTACATAGGCCTACTTCAAAAAACGTGATTTCACAACCACCTCAGCCCCACCATGGCTGGAGCTGAGGTGAAAACAATTTGAGGAAGTAGTACGGTACCTCTCGAGATGGCCGGAAATGACACTTTTATATAGTAAAATTCATCATCATCACATCACCATTATAGTCAAAATGAAACGCCAACAAATTTATCATGATCTTTTATCAGGGATCTACTTAATATCCAGGACAACTTAGGCCTAACTATAGCTTACTAAGCTTTAACTATTTATACTATATTATGATCAACAAATCACAACTTTTTTCGCATTTAGCACAATTTTCTTCACTTTTCATTGCTATTAATATTATTATCAATTATTACTATCGTCATCATCATCATCATCATCATTGTTACTACTACTGCTACTGCTACTGCTACCGCTACCGCGTACCGCTACCGCTACCACTACCACTACTACTACTACTACTACTACTACTACTACTACTACTACTACTACTACTACTACTAGTTAGTAGTAGTAGTAGTAGTATTATTAAACAAAAATTTAAAAGAAATTTGAAAAAGCATAAAACCGAAATTGAACCACAGTATCGCATTTCTATCTTAAAAGACCTGGCCTGAGATTTATGCATTTAAGATTTTTTTAAATCACGCTTAGACCCATGTGTTCTATTAGGCCTATGTATAACGTGTACTGATGCATATTTACATAATAATAATAATAGTGTAGTTTTATATAGCGCACATATCCATCTAATGTAAGATGCTCAGGGCGCTTGATATGTGGACTAAAACATGTTTTAGAAGTATTAATTTTGAGTGATCCCAGGAAAGAATTTGTATTGGCTCAAGAATAAGCTTTAACATTTTAACACTGTGTACAAAGGGGGGGGGGGGGGAGCCACGGCTCCCATGGCTCCCCCCCCCCTGGATACGTCCCTGCACGTTATAAGCCCAATGCCTCCGTAAACGTCCACCATCATCAAAGTAGGCCAAATTTTGCATTAAACTAAAGCTAAATCATATTTACATTATATGAAACAACCTTTATTAATTGAATTTACGTGAATTTCATGCGAAACACGTTTTTTATGCCGAATTTTGGCTTGGGAATTCCATTAAAAAAAGGCATGTAAGGCTAAACCATTGCCTACTCTGTGACAAGTTTGCTGACAACTATCGATATTACTCGTAATAAAAAAGAAGACGTTTAAAAAAGGACAGTTCTAAATCGCCCAGTACCGTTATGTTACACACGTAGTTCCCGGTCTTTATCTCTGCACCCGGCCTGACTTCGAAATCGCTGCAGTTTTCGTTGAAAGAAGACACCTCAGATCGATCAATTAAATAATAACTCAAAACTGAAGTTGATCTTGTTTTTAAATATTAGAGGTTATATTGTCTTCATCTAATTTATACTAGTTAACCAAATATACATCTGTCGAATGCACTTCTGCATAATAAACAACCTAGGAGTGAGTAACCAGCCAGCCGTGCGCGAGGATAAAAAAGATAGGCAGACCATGGAGAAATAAGTTTGGACTCCATTACTCTATGGGCAGACAACCTCCTAGGTTTGATTTTATATTAGGCCAGTATGTAACGCCGACTTACCATGATGGCATTTAAAGTATACCGTATTTGAAGTGTTACAAAAAAGTAATGAAAAGCTTTTCCCTTCTTGAATAGATAATAAAAAGCAAAATCTAATTTTCCGAACAAACAACTTAATTTAAAGTTTCGTTTGTTTAAATCAATTCAATTCAATCCAATATTTATTCACGATATAAACTTCTCAATTTTTAAAATACCTCTATAAATAAACATTTGTTTTTTAAAAGGTCGTGAGTGTACTGTAGTAATTTACTCTGAAACGAAAAAGTAGGTGCAGCTCGAATTCTGCTCTTTAAACGGAAATAAATTGTATATTACAATCATTAGTATATTTGACCTACGTTCTTGAACATTTGCCCAACCTAGTCTTGTTAACATAATTTCAGCTGATTCATCCCATCTACAGTGTAGAATCACTCGCCCTGCATGATTTTTGAGTTTATGTAGCTTTTTACTTAATCTATCGCCACATTTTCCCCACACTTTATAACAGTACTTAAAATGCGGTGAAATAATGGTATCATACAATGTTATTAAGCAGTCTTGAGTCACAAAACTTTTACGGCAACTCTTCTGAGAGCACTAATACCTCTTTAAACATTTAAACATACTAAGTTAACAAGTTCATCCCAAGTTAAGTGATAATATTATGATCACCTCTAAATATTTACATGAGTTCACAATCAAGGAAATGGAGTCATACATACGCACATATACAATATAATATAGACAACTAAATTTAAATTCGATTTAATAACGTTACGTATTTAAAACGTATACAGTAATTAAAAATAAACAAAAAACAAACAACAGCAAATTCAATCTTAATCCTCAGGTATACACACATAACAAGCCGCACCAACAGTCTGATATGAAACTCAAGCGTATTCACTTGTAGGTCTACTTTATTTCAAAAAATAATTAATTTTGCGTTTTATAACCACAAGAAAAAGGCTCATCATAAAGGCCCGCACCAGTACCAATACCCTGTGTATTAATAATAGCCCTACATGTTTTTTTTGCATCTTATATTTATATTCAAAATACCGGCAACTCGTGTAAATATAATTATTATTCATTGCGCTTCATTTATTCATGGTGGAAAGAATCTCATTTCATAAGGCTTTCAATAAAAAACTTTGAACAACTCATTTTCTATCATACTCTCAATACATTATCTTTTCAAGAAACTTTGAAGAACTCATTTTCTATTATTGTCTCGATACATTATCTTGTTCACATCATTTTAAATACGACTTTTCTCTGAGCCCAAACTATAGGTGTAGGCCTATGTAAACCTATCTCTTTGTGACTAGGCTTATTAGATTGCCGAATAAATGTTATTGGATAGAATTGACTAGGCCTAATGTTTTCTTGAGTGGTACCTTAATAAGAATAGTGTCTAGTAAGGTCATACTTTTTCTATTATGGGATGGCCCCTCATGAACATTCACCACACCCACATACAGGTGTCCGACAGGTGATAGATGGATTACTCTAATAAAAAATTAATAAATTGTACAACAATTCAGTTTCAAATAATCCTATTTTGGGCCCTGAAAGCAATACCTCCATGGTAGGAAATTCCTTAGTAAAACATTATCCTGGTCGGCCAATTTATATGCGAGAGCAGGGCTCTCGAAACTTCGTCCTTTTCAAGGGTTACTTTGTGCCCAAGATACCCGGTAAACTGGTGCCAGCTACCTCGCCTAGTGTCTTCAACAGCGATATTTGGACCAGTACACCGGGATAACTCTACTCCTCTCTAAAGAAGGTGTAGTGTGTTCTTTTTGGTGCATATGAGCAAAATAAAGAAGAAAGTACTATATCTATGATCATGGTACTAAGGTTGACGACGTAATGCAGCGAACTACTAAAACTGTCAAAATAACTCGCTTTTATAAAGACGAAGTAACTCTTTGAGTTTTTGCGCCGCTTAAACTCCAGGAGTATTAATGTGTAATACAGGACCTGTATTAGTTGTCTATGTGCAAAACAAGAATTTATGTAGGAATAAATAACGAAGCGAAGATGTAACATTTGTTATCGTTTTCTTAAGGTTTTTAAAACCACCTAAAGTCAGTATTACCATATTGGGAATATCTAAAATTCTAGTCCCCATTAGTGATGTTTCGCAATAGACGACGTACCGGTAAAGCAGACGAGAATTGCTTATGACGGAACACGTAGATGAATGGGTTGACGGCCGAACTCATACATACCAACACCCCCGACATCAAATCAAACCAATATATATCAGAACGTTGAACAAATATGAAGATAACACCTCTGATAGAAGAAGGTAAATATGCAACGACGAATACGGATACTATCAGTGCGCATGTTTTAGCCGCTTTAAACTTCTTATGAACAGTTGTCTGTGTGCCGACTGTATTCTGAGATGTTGGGCCTATGGTGTTTATGTGTTTCCTTGCCACCATGAACATACGGAAGTACATCATAATCATTAAGATTACACATGTAGGAACCAGGATTAAAGCCAAGTAACTTTGAACTGCAATGCCTTGTGGATTCATCGTGTAGCAAAGAAATATTCCTTCAATTCGTTTGTTTTTCCATAGAAATAGGACACTGCTATACATACAGCCTATAATCCAGGAGATAGCTATAGCACGATGAACCCGGCTCGGAGTAACAATCTGTCCATATCTTAACGATTTAGCTATTGAGATGTATCGGTCCGTTGTAATAAAAACAAGGTGGAGAAATGACGTCATTGCAAAAGTTTTAAATGGAATGTATTGTACCTGACAGTCATTGATATTCGGTAGGTGTAGAGATCCCTGCGTGACAAGCCCCCACACACACATGGGGACGCCGATAATCCCCGTGAGTAGATCAACTAATGCTAAGCTAGCAAGTAAAGTGAACTGTGGCTCTTGTAAACTTGGAGTTCGGCGAATTACAATAAGAACAAACGCGTTTCCACAAATGACCACCAAGCCTAATGGTATATAAGCTGTTAAAGCAAATATTAAATTATCCCTAATTTCGTTGGTCGTGATGTTTCGGGCGGCAGGCAGATCCATTTTACAATCGTATCCAACAGAACTTAATCAAGCCGCATCCAAGGACGCCGCACCCTCATATAGTGACTGAAACAGAATGGAAGATGATAATATTTTACATGTTTAGTCTCGGTGTTTAAAATCCAATCAGATGAAGTGACGTCGCTGGGCACTATACATTTCCTTCAATACAGAAGAATATATAATGTTAGTGAGTAGCAAGGAACACAGACACTAATATTAATAATAATTTCTTAAATCGCATAATAAATGCATCAACTAAATGTAGGTGGCGACATTGAGATATAAACACTTTAATACGCAAAAAAAAATAAATTACATGTTAAGACTTTAACACATTTTTCTCAATAGCTGTGTTGAGTTACACTAATATTAAAATTCATTATTACGGTGTATATACAGGTCCTTCTCCAATTAAATACCACTTTAATTATTATTATTATTACTATTGTTATTATTATTATTATTATTTTATTAACACTGAAAAAAGAAATTGTTGTTAATGTCAACAGTTAAAACAAGATAAGATCTGATGAATATATAATTGATGAAAACCAACTAGCACTATATTTTCGCAATAGACGACGTACCGGTAAAGCAGACGAGAATTGCTTATGACGGAACACGTAGATGAATGGGTTGACGGCCGAACTCATACATACCAACACCCCCGACATCAAATCAAACCAATATATATCAGAACGTTGAACAAATATGAAGATAACACCTCTGATAGAAGAAGGTAAATATGCAACGACGAATACGGATACTATCAGTGCGCATGTTTTAGCCGCTTTAAACTTCTTATGAACAGTTGTCTGTGTGCCGACTGTATTCTGAGATGTTGGGCCTATGGTGTTTATGTGTTTCCTTGCCACCATGAACATCAAATTTTAAGTAAATCAGGGAAATACCAGTCTAAAAAGAAGAATTAAAAATGTGGGTTAATGGCTTAGAAATTATAATCAGGGTTCGTACGCGTCCTTAAATTCCTGGAATTTCCTGGAAAAACGAATGAGCATTTTCTAGTAGGCCTACTGGAAATTTATGATTGTCCTTGAATAATTCTTCAATGTCCTGGAAATTTGATTATTTACACATTTATCGTATTGTATTACAATACGTAAATTCTAGGTCATGATTAAAATAAACTAAAAAATGTTCGTTTGTTTTTGTCTTTTCAATACTCATACACAATTAAAGTACAGACCGTTGCCCGCATACTGTAGCTATTTCTCAAAAGTAGGGCGGCATGCCTATAGTATTTTACTTTACACACGTGCGGCTCTCGCTCTTTGACGTTACACAAAGGAGACACGCGGCGGGTACATTAGAGCACTAATAATTTTCGGTACCGTAAAATACATAGGCGTAGATCCCGGGGGGATGGGGATATATCCCCCCCCCCAATATTTGACAAGGGGGATGGTCCATTGTATCATCCCCCCAATATTTTGACTATGTATGGGATAAAATGGAGCTCTACACACTTCAAAAGACTGTCACAGAAATAACTTGCACTGTCTTATGCGCTTACAAAGATGAAAATTAGCATAATGTATTAATGTTGATAACAAAATTATTTTATCTGGTACCAATCTAAGCTCTTCTTTCCTTAGATGTTAGATGTGCTTGCAAAGAGAGCCACATTTCACACTGATGGGTGTGTACGACATCAGTAATATTATGTCAATTATTTTTAGGGTTATATCGGTTGATGAGGAATTTATTGATTACCTATAAAAGCAATTTGCATCAATTCATTTTGCAAAAACAAGTTTTCCAGCTTTAGAGGGGGGCACATCTCCTGTCCGCACAAGGGCACACATTGGCGCTTACACCAGGCGCGTAACAGGGGTCTTGGGTCAGAGTGGGTATTTATATATTTTATTTTTTATTTCAACCATCTTTAAAGAGGGTAACCCTTCTAGTTTAGCCCAGTAGGTTAACTGATATTCAGGGGCCCTCTTTAATAAAATTAAAGAACAGTACAAACAACATCATTACAACATATAATAATAATAATAATAATAATAATAATAATAATAATAATAATAATAATAATAATAAATACAATCCTCATTTCCTGGTTAGTAATTTACCATACCCACCCCACCCCACCCCACTCCCCATATAGAAAATAATACGACATAGGGCTTATCTTATTTATAATATAGGCCACACACGTATGTTTGAAACTAAATATATGCATTTTCATCATGGATTTATTTATTACAAACATATTCTTTCACCATCTATACACATTGAGGCCCTTCTTTTAGGTTAAAATGATCTATTTTAAATTTGGCTTTCTTGAGTTTGGGACTATTATGTGTTTAAATAACTTAAAAGGATAAAACTAAAAAAGCCCTAAAAAATGCGCGCCAAGCGCGCAAAATATTTTTGTGTTTTTAATTCCAATTTCGTCGGAATTGATGAAAACTCCCTAAAATATGCAATTTATAGAGGAAATTGGCCTACCGTAACAAGAAATGCGCGCAAAGAATTTGAGAATTTTAGGTACTTTCAGGGGATGCATTTGTCAAGGGGTGGAGAAAGATTTTCCAAAGATGGATATTTTCCCCTTTTCCCCCGGTGTTTTTAATTCTAATTTCGTTGGAATTGATCAAAACTCCATAAAATGTGCATAAATTGGGCCATGTTAACAAGAAATGCGCGCGAAATTTGAGGTTTTTAGGCACTTTCAGGGGAAGAAAGGGCATTTATAAAGGGGTGGGAAGATTTTTCAAAGATAGATATTTTCCCCTTGTCCCCCAGTGGTTACGCCATCGGGCAGCATAGATCAAAGGAGTTATGAGAGTTTTTGAAGTGGAGAAGGGGTTGCAGGGTGTTGTGAGTCTGGTCATTATGATATCTTCCTTTTTATTCTTGTCTTTATTTTTCTCTTCTCTTTTTCTTTCCTTTTCTTCTTCTTTCTCTTTCCCTCCCTCTCCCCTCTTTCTTTTCTCTTATTACCCAGCCCGGTACGTCGGCTTGGTCAGAGCCCGGTAAAAACCGTCAGGGGAGGGGCAGTTTCCCCCTCCCCCCGCGCCTGTTACGACACTGGCCAACACGCCAATCATCCCCCACCCCACCCCCCCCCAATGCAAAATATTTTTCTAAGCCACTGGTGAAATACATGCTAAATTTGGGCATGTATACACTGTCGACTGATTATGTACTGTACAGCATATTTTTTTTTTAGCACAGACAGGGTTATGGCAGCCGAGGCGTTGAAAACACGAAAGAGGCAATCTAAGCTAGATGAGTTCGATAATTTAAAGAAGAGTAAGTAAAGATGTATTGCGCTGATATTGAAGGTCTGAAAAAGTAATCCATAAGGTTTGCTGATCAGGCCGAGAGTAAATGTAGTCTGACCATAGAGAAATGTTCTATTTTCTCTATGGTCTGACCGTATTGCCAAAAGCGAACAGCCTGCGCGTCGAACTGCCGCTGAGAAAAAGTCATTACTGGCAGAAATTGAGGCGAACATTGCTTCAAAATTAGAAAAATAAAAAAATATGTAAATCCAGAAACTACCATACCTATGACATTGTTTCGAATAAAGTGAATTTTTTAAAAGGAATATGCTGTCATTTTTGTGTTGCTATTCTGTGTTAAATTTAGTGCTTGCAAATGTTGATAATTCAATTTTACAATGTACAGTATATATTTGCTTTACGTATAAACAAATGCAATCATCGCAAACATATCGTACGTTAACATTTGCTTTATAATAGAATTTAAAAGTTTACATATGTTTATAATATTAATTATAAATAATAACCACGAATACAGAGATGAAATAAACGACTTGGTAATGTACAATTTAACAAGTTTCAACATTTTAATGACCAATATGTATGAAATATGAAATAACAATTAAGATCTCCGCAACGTGTATCCATAACGAAGGAGATTAGGACACCGGGGGCTATTGCTTAGCAATGTCAACATCGCTACAGCTTCTTTCATGTAAATTGTTGAATAGCCCTGAACAGGCGTACACTCCACCGAGGCGTCACAATGGAATCAAGTTATTACTGACACGCCGGTACCACAAAGCCACCGACAGGTTTAGCCATAAGACCATGTTCTGCTCCTCAAACACGTTGAGTATGACTCTAAAGAAAGTATTCCTGAAGACCTCATAGTTACCAACCGTCTGGCATCGTGCGGGACGGTCCCGCATTTGTGATTTTGGATGTAACACGCATTTGGCAGAAACACATGCGTGATATTAAATTTGTCACGCATTTAGTACAATCACGTCTAGGCGTGATCATTTCATTCATTCATTCATTTCACTTAGTTTTTATTGTCCAATTTTAAAAGGAGAAGCAGAGCGGAAACAATTCATTGCATATTTAAAAATATACAAAATATAAAAAAATGGTACACAGTAATAATGAAAAGTAAAAATATGGCATTCAAATACAAAATGTGAAAGAAGAATTTAATCACGAATTCAGAGAAAATATATTTAAAATTAGAAGAAATTAGATTGATTAAATTTGTAAAACAATCATGTCGTAACTTGAGTCATTAGAGAGCTAATTGTTATCTTGTTTGACATTCAATTCAGACAGAGAGCTTGAGAGCAGTATTACGTTTGCATTACTAAAAATTGATTGGTATGGTTAACTGGTTCTGGTTCTTGATGGTGGGTAAAGCCGACCTCCTATGGACTCCAAACGTGTAGGGCCATGGTTCTTAATAGACGGCCCATAAGCCAAATTTGGCCCATGAAGCAATTAAAAAATAAAATCAAATTAAATCATTTGATAAATAATGTTCTCATTATAAATAAAGACAACAACGCAATCCCTATTGAAAAAGAAATTTTCTAATGTTTTATATTTAATTTCAAATAATTATTTTAAATACAAAATAATTTGAAATCTAAAAAAAAAGTTAATCTGCTATAACAAAAGCGCAAAAGAATAAGTTAGTTATTGCTATATCTGGAAAAGCCTGGGAAGATTTTTTAACTTAGTAGACTCAAAATCGAGGTGGTTTGAGGCTTTACTTTACAGAAT